TTTGTGTTTTACCAAGGATTGTCTTGCTTTTCTTATCTAGGAACAACTAAGTTCTCGAATTGGGTAGTGCCCGTAATAGGGACGGTTGCTCACCCTGATGCCACGATTTCAGAATGCCTTCCCTCTCCTCTCTTTCTCTGTCTCTCCTGGCAATACCTTAGTTGTCCATAAAGGACAAATTCAAATGCCAGCTCTGTCATAATCCATTCTCTGACACCCATAACATAAATCCTTAAACCATTGTTTCCCAAAGTAGGTTCCATGAACAGTAAATTCTGAGGAATGTTAAAAGATAGTCCTTAAAATGTCGGTGGTCCAGTTTAAACAAAGTTAAACAGGATTCTTTATTATAGGACTTGTCAAACTGTAGGCATCGAGAAGGAAGTACAGTGAATAATGCTTCCCAAAATTATTTGACCACAGAGACCTGGATAATTTTTCTCAGGAGTTGTATTAGTTTCCTGTTTGCTGCTATAACAAATTATCATGAAGTTAGTGGCTCAAAACAGCACAAGTTTATTATCTTACAATTCTGGAGGTAAAAGCCTAAAATGAGACAGCAGGGCTGAGTTCCTTCTGGACACTTGAGGTGAGAATCCCTTTCTTGTATTCTCTAGCTCCTGGAGGCCACTGCTTTCCTTGGCTTGTCGCCCCTTCCTCCATCTTCAAAGCCAGCAATGTAGCATTTTCTAATCTCTCTCTTTTTCTGACCCCTGCTTCTGTCATGGCATCTCCTCCTGTGACTCCTGACATTCTTGCCTCCCTTTTAAAAGGATGGTTGTAATTGCATTGGGCCTACCTGGAAAATCCAGGATAATCTTTCCATCTCAACATTCTTACCTTAATTAAATCTGCAAAGTCCCTTTGCCATGGAAGGTAACATAGTCACAGTTTGTGGGGATTAGAGACTGGCCAACTCTGAGGGGGCGAATATTCTGCCTATCCCAGGACATGTGTTCTGCAGCAGTTAGGGAAAGAATCCCTTCACTCCTCGATGGATATCTGGGTAGAACACCACAACCACGACTTATAACGTTATTTCTAAAGACAAATAAGTTGTGATGCAAAACAAATTCACGTCTGATACACAACCATGGATAACTCTGAGCTGTTGTATAGCAACCTCAGCAATCATATCAGTAAAGATCACTAATGGCCTTACTGTACACAAATCTGCTTAACCTCTCTTCTCTCACAGCCCAAGGTATATAGTCCTTGTTTTCACACTACATCAGACAAATCGTGTGATAAAAATGCCCAATAGGGGTTTTTTTTCCTGTCAGAGTTTTTCAAGACCTTTTTAAGTCTATATAAACATGAACCTACTATACATTGAAAAAAGAGCAAAACTGATCATTTTGTAATGAGTTCTCAGTCTTTGTTCAAGGTGTGCTGTGCTGGCATTCTTACTTTTAACTGTGCCATGCCCACTGACCCACAGACTTCAACAAGATTCTCCAGTAGTGGGGTCTGAGGAGGGCATGAGACAAGTGTTAAAACAGAAACCAAGTATATGAGGAGGTTAATAATGTTGTGAAGACTTGTGGGAAGAGGTTGACTGTGAGAAAGAGAAATGAACCAGAGAAGAAAAGAAAGCTGACCAAGGGACAGGAAAATGCCCTAAAATCTAATGGGTCATGTTTTAAAAGGCTTTGGGAAAAATACAAAACATAAATGTTGTCCTATGCAGAGGAAACTAATAATCTAAGGAAGGTATTTGATTTCAAATAAGCAAAGCGAGAAGGCTTTTAACCAGTCTCAAAAAAAGTGAACTTTAGCTTACAAAATATAAGCATAAAAGATCTTTGAAATTCCATGTAGAATTACGATGATATCCAACACTAAAGGGGAGTGGTATAGAATTGATTAATATCAGCCTCCCTTCACGGGCAACAGTGTCTCATAAAACCATGAGTTCCTCCAGGGCAGGGACAACCTCTGAATAATAGTAGAGTCCCCACCCCTAACAGATAGTTTGACATGTTGCCATCATGTTTGTTGAGCACCAACTAAAATGATTGCAGAGTTGGTTCCTTCCTGCACATCCCAGCACTGATTCATTTGGAGGAAATTATTTGAAAGAAACTGACAAGAAAAGGGGTGTAAGAGAAAAGAAAGATAAAAAAGCATGATATGAAGTACACTATTGAGATTTTCAAAAGACACATCTTGAAATTTTCTTCATTCCCAAATTGTTCATTTACTACATTATATAATTTCCCACCAGAAAACATACGCACTATGAGTGCTTACAACAAAAATATACTGAGATTCAGATGCTGATATTAAGTAATGAGAATCATTCTTCAACTAAATCACAAGTTGCTACTTCTTGTCTGCTGTTGTATACATGATCTCAAGAAACCATTTGAAAATAATCTGATTGGCAAAAACTAAATCAAGAATATTGCCCAGTCAGCTATGGCTCAGCCGTTAAGCATCGACCTAGGATCCAGGCGATCGGGGTTCGATTCCCAGTCAGGGCACATGCCCCGGTTGGGGGCTCGACCCCCAGTTGGGGGTTTGCAGGAGGCAGTTGATCAGTGACTCTCTCATCATTGATGTTTCTATCTCTATCCCTCTCCCTTCTCTCTCTGAAATCAACAAAAACATATATTCTTTAAAAAAGATTGTTTATGGCTACTATGTTTTATTTAGAAGATCAGGAAGAAGAGAGTCTGTTTTTTTATATTCTAGTAATAGAGCATTCTCTGCCCTGCCTCTGTTGAGGTTATAAATTTCCGGGGGCCAGATTATGATTTACACTTCTTTTTTTTTTTTTAATCCTTACTGGGAACATGTTTTTTAAATTGATTTTAGAGAGGAAGGGGAGAGAGAGAAATATCGATGTGAGAGAGAAACATTGATCTGTTACCTTTAGTACGTGCCCTGACTGGGAATTGAACCTGCAACCTTTTGGTGTATGGATGATACTAAACCAGCTGAGCCACCTGCATGTGCTTCTTTTTTTATCCTCAAGTTACGTAGTTTAATGTTGTGGATTTGATGGGCATTCAGTGAGTAGTTGATGACTTGGATTAAATGGGAAAATGTACAAATATGAGCACTGTAAAAGTCAGTGTGGATAGGCATAAAATGATTAGAAAAACATTCCCATATACAGTGAACTCTGTCGATATGTTTTCCCAGCTCTTTGCTAACATTCCATGATCAGATCAGTAAATTATAAAAGGACAAATTCACAGTCAATGCTTAGCAGAATGCAGTGGCAATAGATCCTATAATAAAAAACATGGAACTGATTTCAGGCCAATCTAATAAAGGACATTTGTAAGTCAGGTCCAGGAAATTGCACTCAAGAGTAATATTGTGACATTCACAGCAATATGATAGTGGTTACAAATTTTTAAAAAATAGTGAAGCTTCAGAATCTCCAGTTCTTCAGTGATAATGGGATTTCAGGTTACCACTAACAGAGTAATTAAGCTTAAGGAAGCAGCTAAGAGATACATAAAAGGAATCAAAATTGAGTAAGGATCCATAAATAAGGAGTACTTTCAAAATGAAAAGCGAAAACATGGGGAAAAGGGATAGTTCCCTGAAGGCTGATTGACCACCTCCAGTGGGTTGAACCTCTTGGATAGATCTGGCCAAGTCTAAATGGAGAGATGACATTTGTGTTGAGACTGTGTTTAATTGTCATAGCAATAAATTCAATAACATTAAGAGAAGGATGGAAGTAATAAATTTAGGAATTTTTAAAGAGACTTTTGCTGTAATGCTGATAAAAGGTATAAGAAAATTATTCATTTTCAGCTTTCTGTTTGAGATGTTTCATGAGTGGTGTGATTCCCAGGATAAGACTCACCTTGGAAAGGAACAGACCGTGAAGAGGATATTTTGAGTTTAAGGAAATAGTTCATACTATGATACAGAAGTAGGGGGGATATACAACTTGTTTAGTATAGCCACTGTGCCAGGACTGGTCGTTTCAGGGCACACAAGGGAGCATATTTCACACATGGCTATAAATATGTAGAGAAAAGATGCACAAATACTGTACAGCTGATAAGAGCTATACAAATTACAGAGATCAAAACTTGAAAATTGAGAAATAAATGCTTCAGAAATGTACTTGAAAAAGTATAAGAAAGGCTAAAATAAGACATTGTGGTAGTAAGACAATTTAGATGATTATACCAAGTAGGAAGATGGATACCAAAGGAACCTATGGGCATAAGCTAGGAAAGCACATGGAATTTAATTTTTCTAAAGAAACAGAGCTTAAAATGAAAATGTGTTATACCTGACAAAGCAGGAAGATAAAAACTGACCTTATATAATTTAAATATTTCAAAAATTATGTTTGCCTTAGTTTGTCAGTGCAGGATATTTTTTCTCTAATAAACAACCTCTCTGAAAGTAAATATCTGAACAGAATTTTGAATTATTTGGAAAATAATGCAGGAACAAAAGACTGATGATGATGATATAAACCTATTGTGCCGTCGTAAAATATTATGAAAAATTAGATGGTAATAGAATACAAATTGTTGGATATCGAGAGCATTTTGAAACAGAAGAGATGAGATGCGAGAGGGTTATCCGTTTGGCTAGATATATTTTTCTTATGCATAGTTTGGGAATTCTGTAGTTTCATCCAGTGTAAACACTGACTCTATTAATGCTAAAAAGGAAAGCGTCCCTAAACTAATCCTGCCTTTCCTTTCCAGGTATGAGGAATGCAGTCCATTTCTCCCCAGTGCAGGGGTCAACGATTTTGATGGAGACTATAATTCGGTGAATGTGCAGTTGTTATAGACTGTGAAATGTAATCATAATTTCAGTGTTTTATTACAGGTTTCACTGTGTTCCCTCCATCTCGCCCATTTTATGACATATCGTATGCATTCACATGCCAAAAGATAAAGTCATTTCTTTCACGGAAGTGGGAGATGTAGCTTTAAGTGTGGGGCACTCTTCCCCCCATTTTCATAAGGTTTGTGCTCACAGGTTGCATGCTGTGCTTTTTATTTCAGTAACATTTAACACAACCATGGCCATGGAGGAAATTAAACTTACACAGAATGTCCATAATGAGGCTCTGAGTGCTGATGTTTCAGGTATGGTACAATCTCTGAATTGCACATTAAAGAGACAGAAGCCGTCTTTTCTCCTCTGTTTTCAGTGTATAAAAGTACCTGGATTTAACCATAAATAAGTTGTCTATTAACCTCCACTGTCTGGGGCACAGCAGAGGCACCCAGACGTAAGCAAAGCAAAGCAGAGGCAGCTAGAACAGGTGCCGTTCACCCTCCAACTTAGGGGAAGTTTCTCAGGCTTTCGCTCTGCACTTAGAGAGTCTCTCTTTACAAATACTTCTGTCCTGCTTGGTCATCCCATTTCCCTTTTCACAGGCACAAGAGGCCTGCGCTGAGTTAGGAGAAGGAATTGTGAGAATCAGACTCCCCGACCTAATAAGAAGTGACAGTTAAAAATGTGAAAGGAGGCAGAATACTTATTTATTGCTTATTATTTTTATTTTATCATTTTTATTTTATTTTGTTTTATGGAAGGGTCAGTGATGTGGAGGAAGGCTGATGGTGGTCATGCCAGATGAGCATTAAGTCTGCACACAAATCTGAGACTGGGTCGCCTCTGAACTAGGCCAGCACCCAGATCTTCCCACACGCCCCACTCCACCGCTATTTTAAAATAGGCACAAACATGTTTTAAGGCAGAAAAGGGCCATTCATTGGAACAGGCCATCCTGTCTACTTCAGTTTCTCAAGACACCATTTTATTGCATCTTAGCTTCATAGTAATAGTCCTTAAACAGCAACAACAGTTTAGATTCTGTTCACTCTATAATCTGTTATAGAAAAATTTCTATTTAAAATGCTTTTGTTTTAAAACATTTTGATACTGAGGGATAACATTTAGCCTCATCCTTCAATAAAACCACATAAATGAGAATTAACATAATGCATCGAATGAGCCTTAAAATACATCTGTTTTTATTACTACTGATCAGAACATTTTGATTTTGAATTCCCATTTCAATTTTATTTTCAAAATTCCTTCAAATGTGTTACATGGAAACTACCAATGATTGGATTTACCTTGCCTTTCTTGGCAGAGGTAAAAGGGATACGTGTATACTAGTTCATTCTTGCTGTTATACTAGTTCATTCTTGCTGGTTAGTTTCCTGGGTGTTACATGCTTTTGTTTTATTTTATGCAGAGCAGTTTCTCTCCCCACCAAAAAAATGGTAGGTTGAAATTAGCTTATTTGGATGTTACACACTTTTCTCTTTTGGAAAATAGATATCAAAATCAGGGTAAATGAGAGCTTTGGAGAATGCTGCATCACGCTCTCAGTAAACGTCACTTCCTGCCTTACCCACAGCTCACCCACACACACCCTTGGCCAACATGACTCTACACTGTGCTCGTGAAAGCCTGGCCCCAGGATAATTTATGTGACTCAGACTGTGAAGCTTTTACTACCTCTCTAGGAGGTTACAAAGTCTATTAGATCTTATTTCCTTATTGTGCAGGTTGAATTGTTTTTAAGAAATGTATTTTATTTATCTTGTTTAGATGATTCCCTTGACTATATTATTTCTTATCTTTCCTCATTGTAAATCACAAATTTACTTTGCTGTGATTCATCTACACAGTTCTACAGCTATTTGTTGTTATTTAGAGTATAAAGGATTTATTCCTCAAATTTCTCTTATCTGAACTCCAAATAAACCAGATTTAATTTTGGGTTAGGAAGAAAAAATATACATACTGCCATAACATATAATAGCAGTACACCTGCCATATAGTTTAAGCTGTCATTTCTTTGAGACGTGAGAAATTGGGCAGCCCATTGACCACTTTCACCTGAGGGAATTTGTGTTAGCATAGGTCTTTCACATTAGATGTTGACTCAGTATTTAATTGGGGAAGAAACAGACCCATAATGATCTCATTTCTACTCTCCTGTAATACTGCAAGAAATTTCTGTCTGTTTCTTAGATGGGTTGGGGGTAATAGTTAGAATGGAAATCTGAAGGGGAGGGAGGGAGGAAGGAAGGAAGAGCTGAACTGCTTAGTACCTATGAAAAAATAGATACATAAAACCTCTATAAGCAGACCTCTGGTTCTCTACTTAGGAGGTTTTCTTTACCTACAGTGTGCCAGGCACTGTGCTCTAACGATACTTCACAAGTATTTTTTCCTTTGGGGCCATGTTCTTTTAGTGTCCACAGGATAGAAAAGAAAAATTTTCCCCATCCCAATGCTGACTTAAAAAAAAAAAAAAAAAAGGCAGAATAGATTTGTGCCCTTAGAGTTGAAGGGGAAAATAAATGGCATAGATAAAATAACATACTTTAAAATGAGACCGGTGTGTGGACCTTAGGGGACCAGTTTTTGGTGACTGGCAATTCAGAATTAGTATCACCTGAGGAGCCATAGACTTAGGTCCAGTCAAAAGTTTCCTGCGTTTTTCATTCATCCAATGGGTCCCCTTGTATTTTATTGGCTTCTGGGTTTTTGTTTGCTTTGGTGGGCTCCTCAGCTCTTCCAGAGCAGAGTGGCATTGTGGGGAGGTCGGTCTCCACAGCTTGATGCATAGCAGACAAGACAGATCCTAAAGACAGTTGTCTAGTCTCAGGTGCTCCCCCTAAGTTACACTGTCAGGGGAAGATCTGAAAGAGCAGCCACTTGAATGAGAAGTAGCCCAAAACACTACTATCAAGATAGCAAACTGAAAGGAGAAGAAATGCTGAAATTTTGTGGCAAATGTTGTTTAGGTCTTTTTTATGCTTTTAGCAGCACGTTGATTTGGGCGAGAGCAATGGGCTTGGTTAGAGAGACCCTGCTATTTCTTTATGCCCTTCCTTTGAAGCCTAACAGTATTGGTGTGATTTATGCCTCCCCCTCTAAGAACTTCTCAAGTTTCCTTTCAGAAAGAAGCATTCTCTCCCCTGAGCACCCAAGAACAAATTTCACAGCGCTGAAAGTTAATTTAAACTTCTTTTACGATCCCAAGTTGGGGGTACTGGCCCTTTCCACAGACCAGACCTGCCATAACACAGTAATATTCTTCTCTTCCCATTTATCATTTGGGAATAAAAATGGATTTTCTTATTATTTCCTTTCAAAGAGTAAGAAACTTTAAAACATTCAGAAGTCTATTTTTTCCCCAAATTCATTTTAATGAAACAGTTTCACTTGCTCTTGCTATTACTCTGGCTCCTTGTCTAGCATCCTAGACGCACTATTTGTTGCACATTCTCCCTTTCTTTTTGGCTTAGCACGTAGACAGAAAGTCCTAAAAGAGCAGCCCGCCCCCAGAGCCCTCTCATCCATCACATTACACTAGCGATAAATGGAGCTAATTTATCCTCTGTGGGTTTTTAATTAACCTAGAACATCTTTTTTCTATTAAATAGTTCTGCATGTGGAATTTTCATTAATTATCAGCTGGGACCCCAGAGCCAAGCAAGAATTGAAAGAGAAGGAATGGCTATTTCCCTCCCAACATTAACTTCGTAATCCTAAGAACTGGAGTGAGAGCAAAGATCACTCTACACAGGGTCTGTAAGTTGTTCTAGGATAAAAGTCACCCAGAAGTTTTTAATATGCTGACACTCATTTCACTTATACTTCAAGAAGCCACTTTTACCCTGGCTGGTGTGGCTCGGTTGGGCATCATCTCATCCCGTGCACCAAAAGGTTGCCAGTTTGATTCCCACTCAGGGCACATACCTGGGTTGTAGGCTCAAGTCCTGATAGGGGGCCTGCAGCAGGTAGCCCATTGATGTTTAGCTCTCACATCAATGTTTTTCTCCCTCTCTCTCCCTCACCTTTCCCCTCTCTCTAAAAATCAATTTTTTAAAAATCTTAAAAATAAAAAGCCACTTTAAACTGCTCATCAGATATCCTTGCCAAGAACAAGGGGTTGCAAACAGGTTTGCCATACTGTAGCTTTTATATATTCTACTACCTTCCAGAATTTCCAACATAAAATGAATGGAAAATTAATAAAGAATGAACTATAGTTGTTTTTTTTTAAATACACCTTTTTAGAGCAGTTTTTAAGTTCACAGCAAAATTGAGCAGAAAGTACAGAGTTCCCATGTACTTCTTGCCCTCACAGTGTAATACTTTCACTTAAAATCTTACTTTTAGAAAATTACCAATTTTATTGAAATACAATACACATATCATAAAATTACCATTTGAAAGTGTACGATTCTGTGTGTGTTCGTATATTCATGGAGTTATGCAACCATCACCACTCTCTAATTTCAGAATTAAAATTTACTTTTAAGTGATGAAATTAAAATACCACTTAGAAAACTTAAAGAAAAGGACAACAGACATCCCCCAAACTCACCATTCAAATCAAACTCTTGTCATTTTTTGTATATTTATTTTTTTTTGCATCCAGATAATTTTACAATGATGAAAGTGTCCTATGCACTTATTTTAAAATTTTCTTGGGAGGATTAATGGCTCTGTCTCTTTAACGCTGCTCACAGTGTGATGAGGTGTGCTGTGATTCTTACTGCTGTGTGTACACATGAAACTATTCAAGTAAAGAACATAACTTCATGGCTGTGTATGCTGTGGTGTGGTGCTTTCTGTTCAGCCATCTCTCTTGGTATTTGAGCATTCCAGAGTACTATTACAGCTTTAGACATTTGCTCATTAGTAGTGGATAGATGTCTTTTATTTCTCTGTGCTAGGGTGTGAAAACATTGAAAGTTTACATTAATTAATAAAACTGATTTGTCCTTAGATGATGCTGTTCCCTGAGACTAAGGGCAGACTCAGCACTGGACATGTTGCAGGAGTGATTTTAACTAGCATCAGTGGGAGGGACCAAGAGAAACCAGTCAATAAAAACATAGACAGTGGATCTGGACACATTTACAGGAGTGTCATGAAGGGCCAAAAAAAATGTGAAAAGATGCTCTGGAGATGTGAATGAAAACATTTTTTCTAGAATCGGATTAAGAATGTTTGAAAAAATTGATAATGTTAAGTGCAATAAGGATGTGGCAAATGGGATACTTATAAGCTCTGAGAGTGTAATTGATCAACCTTTAAGAGGCTAACC